ATCCTCAGGAGTCCCATTCAATAGATCCATGTTCCAACGCTCCGCATTCTTATCGACGCTGCTCGCATATGTCATAACCTGTGGTGAAGGTGCTTCCGACCGCACACTGCTTAAGATATCTTATCGTGGAGCCCCGCTTGACATTCGTCTCGTGCCAACTATGATATCACAGGCCGCTGCAGTCTCTGGTGAAGGAGCAAGCTTCCTCAGCCAAGACGACCGTGAGTGCGAAAGATGCTTTGCGCTGGATGGCATGATCTACGACTTGAAAGCTGTAGGTGTCCAAATTGTAGAGTCTACATGCTCCGTTGGTTACGAGCAAATTCTGAACTATTTGAGGAAGGCTAGAGCCATGCTAGGCATCCAATTTTACTGCGAGCCCGACTCTGTGGTCACCATCAACCCGATCAACGGGCCGATTGAGGCATCAGAAACTTGTACTGGCGGCAATCCCGTTCTTGGCACCAACGACCCCGGTTCTTCTTGCCAGCGTAACCTCGAGGTCATCAACATCGGACAAGCATGGCGTTATGCTCGCGAAGCTAAGCGCGAACTAAAGGATATCGTGCTGGCCATCAGCGACACTGGAGTTGATATGACCCATCCGGATCTGGTTGGTCAGTTCTGGAAGAACCCGAAAGATGGCTCCATCGGGTATAACTTCATCACGAACAGTATCGATGTTACTGATGACAATGGGCATGGTACTCACTGTGCTGGCAATGCGGCCGCCCACACTAATAACAGCATTGGCATTGCGGGAGTGGCGAATATCAACGGCTCGGCACCCAAGGTGAAGCTAATGATCTTGAAGTTCCTCAATGCCGGGGGAGGGGGATCGGCTAGTGGCGCAGTGAGGGCTCTCAACTTCGCGGTTGAGAATGGGGCTGCAGTATCCTCCCATTCTTATGGTGGTGGCTCAAGTGATATCGTGAGAATTGCATTCGAGAATGCCGCCGCTGCTGGACATATCACTGTTGCTGCCGCCGGAAATGAGGGAGTGAGTCTCGAAGCCTTCCCAACCTATCCTTGTTGCCTCGCGAAGAATATCCCATCCATGATCTGTGTTGCTGCCAGTACTTCCAACCCATCCGAGAGCATCACTCTAGCTGACTTTTCGAACGCTGGCTCGGTTACAAAGGTTGCCGCTCCTGGTGTAAACATCTACTCGACGATTCCTGTTGACACTTATGGTTATAAGAGTGGCACATCGATGTCGACCCCTACAGTTGCCGGTGTCGCCGCCTTACTCGCTACACTTGGTCTAGTGGGTGAGGACATCACCAATGCTATTGTTGCATCTAGGAAAATTGGTGTACCCAATCAGTTCAATCTACCCGACATCGGGGAACTAGATGCACTCAATGCAACCCATATTGCCCTCGATTCCATCCGTCGGATGGCATCCGAGGCTACTGAAGCCCCTTGAGAGTTTGAGATTTGGGTCGTCGTTGAGTCAGGTACCCTCGTTCAATCTCCTTTACTGTTCGAAGTAATGACTATCGAAAGATGAGAATGACATCATGAGTGTCATTAAGTCTGCTTCGAACGCTTGTCTTGTCGTTTACGAACATCGTTATGAGTCACTTTTCTCCATTTCATCTTCTAACAGTGATCTAAAGCATTCTTGATCTGTCATGGGCTACACTTGGTGCCACCAAGTTGGTGGTCCAGACATCCGTCATCAGAATATTCCGTCATGAACATCTTGAGCGTAAATGACAACGGATTTCTAAATATTTATTCAGTCCTTGAGTTCAGTCTCTTTCCCGGTCTTTGCCAGCAGGGTTCATGACGGACACAAAACGTCTGTTGGCGACAAGTCGGCCTACCATCACCGTGACATGGTTACACTTACTCGCCCACCCGAAACGAGCTTCTTTCGCGGAACAATAGAACATCGACTCGATGTTTTCGTCGCTCGAGCCCTATGCAGTGTATAACCAAGGGCTCTGTGCCGATGTATGCAACTCAATACGGCCCTGTTGGGTATACCAAGACATGATTATACACTTATGAGTAACAAATGGGATGGTATAGCTTAGCTAATATATTAGCTGATACAAATGGGACAACGGAGTCACAGATGTGATGGACTGCACACCGCAACAGTCTCAACTGACAACAGTTAACGTAATATGTTCCCATATCAGCACAACTATGCAGCAAGATACACACGCTCGAAGAAACTGGCTAATCGCGAGGTCCAGGAACGCCTAGTCACACAACGACGAGCAACAAATTCGGGTTGAGATTCTTGGCATATTCCTACTCCTGGTGCGAGCCTGCACTACCCGACATGATCCACAAGAAAGCGAATTCGCGAGGTATGCTGTGTTCGTTCATCTATATTTGATACTTATCGAAAACGCAAGTCAATTCGTTCAAAAAACAATTATGCCAAATTAAATAGAATAGCATCTGTCATCTAGTCGGATATTCAGACAATTGAAATGCTGAGTGTGCAGGTCACTCGAAAGGCTGAATTGCTCCTCTCGGATCTGGAATAGGAAGATGTTGATGGTTGAGAAGTGATAAGTGGCGCTCGCTAGAACTCAACATACCAGATTGCATACGTGATAGTCAAAAGCAAATCCTTCCAGTGTTATCGATTCGCTCACCTGCTGGAAAACTGCCATTGAACATTAGGTCATCACCACTTGTAAGAATATGAAGTCTCAGTAGGCGTGTCACTGCGCGTGATGGCGACTCGACACTGAAATGCAACTCATTGTGGAGCCCCAATACTGCAAGAGGCTGTGAGGTCACAGAATCCTCACAGAGATAACAACTCCCACTGGGCGTTGAGAATCGTCACATATTTTACCATAACTCCCACAAATTCCCAAAATTGGCCAAAAAGTAAAATGCCACTCACTCAGGTGATTTCAAATCCACTGAAGACGCTCCCAACTCGTGCAGCTGTTCGATAAACTTCGCACAACGGCTCCGCAATCTGAAGCTGATAGTCAATTGAACCTCATCAGACGATTCCGTTACAGTGCATTCTCCTCCTCTAAAACAGTGTTACGATCACATAAAGTCCGAACCTGCTGGTTCAACTCCTCCAGCGTCTAAAATATCAACAACTCCGTGCACGGAGACTTTCCCGCGACACAATACCACAGACAGGTAGTCAAAGGATGATACTAATGAATAGGGAGCTGTGGCGCGACTCACGACTCCTCACTGGTCGCTTCAATGTGTGGAGCCCCATACATGCCGGGCAAAGGCCAATTCCAGAATAGACTCTATTCAAGAGTGTGAACTTCGAGGCAATAAAGGTGAATCAAAACAACACTACGATCAAAGTCAGATCATGCTCAGTTGCTCAACAGTGGTGGGTGTTGGGAAGCGAGTTGGACCAGCTCAGCGGAGAGTATGGTCCATCCCAGATCCAGCATCCACCACAGGATAGAGTGAGCGGTGAGCGATCACTCTCTTTGTTCACTACGAGGAAACCCATTACGACTAGCCGGGCATTTTCTGTTGAGCGTTGTACTCCCTCTATAGACCAAATTCTTCTGTGCTATAATAACAAGGAGGCCGATCAGATCCGACTCGAACCACTTTTCCGAACTATATCATTTCATAATCGTTTAGAGAGCACTGTAGAATCATTTCCAAACCGTGAGAGCAATGAACCCACCTGCAAGATCTGCAACGTATTAAGAGGCGCTAACGACGGACAGTTCCGTCTCGGCACCGGATCGTCACAGCTGGTCTGATTTTATTCAAAATAGAGTTTTCCTCTTCATCCACGCTGTAGGAGAAAAAGCCGATTCTCACCCTCCGAATGTGGTTCATCATATCGCTAGAATGAAATGATTCCTTCCTACGAGCGAAATTTTGGGCCACCACATCGGTATCGACCTGCCTCAACGAGTTGAAGAGATCCTTGATGTTTGCCCCCGTTTGGGAGCCACTGCCAGCAAACTCGTTGTACAATACCAGATTGAGGACCCCTCGCACTCGACGACCTTCCTCGGGAGGCACGAACATCCTCGCTGGGAACCCTTGTGCCACGAGAGTCTCCATGTCGACCTCACAGCAGGCTTCGTACTCCTCCATGTCCTCGTGAGCTTCAGCTAGGATAACGACTTGATCTGACTCAGATCATCTGAGCAACAATAACTATGCCAACGCCTATCACTAATCGGGATGCCTCCTCTAGGAGGCCCCATCTTAATTCTTACTATATACGCACCTTGTTCCTCATCCCACCTTAACTAGGAAAATTATGTGTCGTTTTATGAGAGTGAAACATGGAGGGATACCATTATGAACGATTCTCTTTCTGTTGATGTATAGCATTAGATCAGGAGCGGAGTTATAAATATACTCCCCCAGTAAAAGTTGGTATTTTGAGGCGCAATTTTAACACGTGTATGCTGAGAATATGTGGACAGAACTTTTTACCGGTCTTTGACTTCTCACTAACTACGAAGAGTAAGGCTCTGAAACTTGGAGGTCATATCAGGTAAAGCATAAGTACATG